ATTTCACTGCTAGGTTACACCCAACAGAATAGAAGCAGGGACTCAAACAGTCCATGGCATATAACCCTTATATTGCCATGTTCATTCCATTGCAACATTATTCACAGTAGCCAAAAGGTGGAAACCACCCAAGCGTTCATCAACAGATGAACAAACACAATGTGGTGTGTACGTAGGTATCCAATGGAATACTATTCAGCTATCAAAGGGAAAGAAATTCTCATACATGCTATAACATGAATGAACTTTGAAAACATTATGTTAAGTGAAACAAGTCAGACACAAAAGGACAAATATTGTCTGCTTCCACTTAAATGAGCTGTCTAGAACAGGCAAATTCATAGAGAATGAAAGTAGATTCGAGGTTAGGGGATAGGTAGGGGACTTGAGGAGTTACTGCTTAATGGTTATAGAGTTTCTGTTTTGGGTAATGAGAAAGTTCTGGGAATAGATGGTGGTGGTGATTGCACCACAGTGTGAGTGTAGTTGATGGTACTGAATTGCACACTTAAAATCTAGTCATACTCTGACCTTTCTTCCTCTATCCTTTACATGAGTATTTGACAGAGAGAGCAGTCAAGAGTGTGAGAGAGCACACTCAAAAGACAGCCACAGCTATCAAAAGCGTGAGCTAGAACAGAGGGGCAAGCTGGGGACAGAGAGCAATACAAGCATGCGCTACCTAGGGAGTAAGAGAGAGTGTGTGTGTGAATTAAAGAGACAGACCTGCTGATCAAGCCTGGGATGGCAGATGCTCAGAGAGGGGGAGACCATAAGCGACAGGAGAGAGAGCTGGAGCACGTGCAGCAAGGATGCAGGCACTTGGGAGAGCCACAGGAAGCCGGAGGCAGAGGGAGACTGGTCAAGGGCGAGCAACCCGGGAGGCAGGAAGAAGGTCAAGAGTCGGGGAGAGAGCTCATTAGAGGGAAATAGAACTACCAGTCTGGATCAATCATGGCGGGGCAAGAGGGCAAGAGTGGGAGCAAGAGTGAGGGGAGGACGTGCTTGTATTCGAGAGAGCCAAGGCATAGTGAGGGAGGGTGAGCACACTGAGGATGGGCCCACCCAATGAGCAGCTCTGAGAAATCAGTGGTGAAAGGGAGCGTGGCCACAGGTGTGAGAGAGGGCAGGGACCAGGGGCAGGGAAAGAGTGGGAAAACTAGGGACTGGGGAATCCAAAACTACTGACACAGAAAAGACACGGGTGGTGGGGGCTGATAGCGAGGGGAAGGGGGGGATGGTGGGGGGGTGGGTGGGGGGATGGTGGTGGGGGTAGGAGGAATGGTGGGGGGCAGGGGGGCAGTGGGTGGGGGGCGGGGGAGTGGTGAGGGGGGGCAGTGGCGGGGGATGTGGGTGGGAAGGCAAAGCCTAGAACTGGAGAGAGAAGAAAGGAATGGCATGCTTGCCCGCAGGAGGAGGAGACAGGCGACAAGAGTGTGAGAAGTGCACTGTGCCCATGTGCCCAGGTTGCTGCAGTAAGTCTCTCCCCTGCATGGGGAGCAGGGGCTGTCCTGGCCTGTACAGTTTTTCTGTAAAGGAATGCCATGCTCCCTGAAGAATTTTGTCTTATTTCTTAACAAGATTTGAGTGTACACTCTCCACAGTGTCTGCCCTAGCTGCTGCAAAAGGAAAAAAGAAATAGAAATTATAACCCTGAAACTGAGCAGTACTGGGGAGATAGCAACAGGATATTAATGATGACTTTGGCTCTTTGTGCTAATCATGCTCTCATTAATTTGAAAAATTATATTTTTCCCCTCTTAAATGGGTATACTCTACAAGCAGAGGACTGAATGTCTGTGATGGGATGACAAATAAATATTATTTTTTCCATTTAGGAAGGAATGGATAGAAGGAACAGACTCCACACAGCTTCTGTTCTAGCTCATGCTTTTGATAGCTGTGGCTGTCTTTCAAGCTCACTTTCTCACTCTCTTGATTGCTCTCTCAATCACGTAAAGGATAGAGGAGGGAAGGTCAGAATATGACTAGATTTTAAGTGTGCAATTCAGTATGATTAACTACACTCACGGAAATAGAACTGAGACTTGATCATCCAGGATGTAGATATTCTACCCTCTTAATTTGCTGTGGTTGCTGCCCTATTTTCCTATTTTATTTTTTATATTTATAAGTACTTCAGTTGAGATTTTCTAGTGTGGAATGAAAAGCAAGAAATGAAACCCAATTCTGGCCAACATTTGGGAAAAGGGAGGTGAGACTAAGAGAAGATGTTGGTATTCTATGGGGTAGTCTGTGTTTGAATGGAACTCTCATTTACTGATTTGTTGCTTGATGATCCTTATAATTTCAATTGCACCTCATCTTTACAATTAGTTTTTCAGTTTCTGTGAGATCAGGAATTATACCTTCTACCACTTTTTACACAGCCTAATTTTCCCTCCCTAGAACATAAGATAAAGTGGATTTTGACAGCGCCAAGGCATAGGAAGTATTGTTGACTTTGCTGCTTCATTGATTCCTGCATCATCATCATTATCATAAGCATCCTTAGCAAGTCAGCAGCCATAATAAGGCCCAGCACTGAGTGCAGCTCAGGACAAAGGGAATTAATTCATGGACAAGCACCTTGCCCTATGGCAGTAAAAGCAGACATATGAACATAAGGAAAAATCACTGCTTAAAGAGTAAGGTCAAGAGTGCAGCTTGCAGGCTGCTACACTGCCTTGGAAATCATAAGCAGCTTGCTGCCTGCCACCTGAGAGGGCCTGGGGTTTCCAGACTCCCAACATTCCTGTCTTTTAGCCTTTACCCACACTTTTTTCAGCCCACAGTGAAATTCTCCCAATCTGAAGAAGGCAGCCTGAGAAATGATAACCCTGAAACTGAGCAGTATTGGGGAGATAACAGCAGGATGGTAATGATTACTTTGGCTCTTTGCACTAGTCATGCTCTCATTAGTGTGAAAAATTATATTTTCTTCACCTATTAAATCGGTATACTTTACAAGCAGATGATTGAATGTCTGTGATGGGATGGCAAACACATATTATTTTTCCATGTAGGAAGGAATGGGTAGAAGGAACAGCCTCCACACAGACATGAAGATGTTTAAGAAGAGCATGGAAAAAGAAAAAAGGAGGAACTTAAACTCAGATCTGGGTGTGCCTCTCCCACCACCCTTTCCTTCTTTCCCAACCCCTCTCCACTGCCAAGCACACAGCCTCAAGGGAAGGTGCAATTTCCAGTTCTGTATTCAGACCATAGGATGAGCCCTGAAGGAATTTCTGGCCCTCCTTACTGACTGGGATAGGAGGTTCCAGAAGGTTCTGCCAGTTCTGTCTCAGGAGAGGCCTGATCTATTGGATCCGGGCAGTGTGAACCAGGCCACAAGAGCCAGTGCTTACAGAGCACACAGGATATGCTTGGCATTCTGCTGAGCACCTTACATCATCACTTTTCTTTATGTTCACCACAGCCCATATCCTATCACATCTAATTGATTAAGAAACAGGTCAGACAGGTGTGACGTGCCAGGATTTCCTAGCTAGAAAGTGGCAGAGCCAGGACAAAGCCAAGTCTTTCTGATTCCACAACCTGAGATTTTAACCAAATTGGTCAGTATGGTACCCTCCTGAGCGTTAGGTCCAGAGGGCACTCAGTAAGTGCATACCTAATAAAGACGGAGACCTCAAACACACTTCACCTCTTCTGGCTTTGCAAACTAAACTAAACAAACACCTCAGTTTATTTGACTGCCTTCTGATGCACCTCTTCCTCTTATTCTATTCTCTATAGATTTCTTTTTTTTTTTTTTTTTTTTTTAGACGAAGTGTCACCCTGTCACCAGGCTGGAGTGCAGTGGTGTTATCTCGGCTTACTGCAACCTCCGCCTCCCAGGTTCAAGTGATTCTCCTACCTCAGTCTCCCAAGTAGCTGGAACTACAGGCACACACCACCACACCCAACTAATTTTTGTAGTTTTCGTAGAGATGGGGTTTTACCATGTTGGCCAGGATGGTCTCGATCTCTTGACCTCGTGATCCGCCCACCTTAGCCTCCCAAAGTGCTGGGATTACAGGTGTGAGCCACCACACCCAGCCTTCTCTGTAGATTTTTAATCCTACTGCTTTCACTAGGTGGCTGTATAAATATAGACAAGTAATAAATTCTCAGATGTTCAGTGTCCCCACCCCAAAGATGAAAAGGCTGATAGGGTGAGGGGTGATCCCTGAGATCACCGCTAGGGAGAATGTTACAGGAAGTCTGTCTCCTAGTTTTGCCTCCTCCGGCAGAATGAACAGGTCACAGGCTTTAGAATCAGCCAGACCTGATTTCAAATGTCAGTCAGTGAACCAAGTCTGCCCTGTGTCCTTCTGAGGGCACATGTGTCTAAAGACCTCAGTTCCCAAGTGGTCGGGCGCAGTGGCTCATGCCTATAATCCCAGCACTTTGGAAGGTCAAGGCAGGCAGATCACTTGAGATCAGGAGTTCAAGACCAGCCTGGCCAACATGGCGAAACTCCATGTCTCCATGTCTTATCATGTCTCCATGATAAAGTGAAACTCCAGTCTCAAAAAACAGAGACCTCAGTTCTCAAGTGGCCCCACCACAGACTGTTTGGAAAGCTGATGTATATACTGCACAGTCATCACTTGGTATCCACAGAGGACTGGTTCCAGGAATCCCCTTGGATGCCAAAATTCATGGAAGCTCAAGTCCCTAATATAAAGTGGCATACTATTTGTATATAACTGACCCACATCCTCCTATATACTTTAAACCATCTCTAGATTACTTATAGTACCTCATACAATGTAAATGCTATGCAAATAGTTGTTACACTGTATTGGTTAGGAAATAATGACAAGAAAAAGTGTACATGTTCAGTACAGACACCGTGTTTCTTGAATATTTTTGATCCGTAGTTGGTTGAATCCATGGATGTGAAACCCATGGATACAAAAGGCCAACTCTGTGAGCATTCTCTATCTAGTAAGTGTCTGTCAAACCATTCACTTCTGCCTCTTCCCTCCTAGCATCTGCCTGCCCTTCTGCCATCCGAGCGCCCTGACTGCGCCACACTGCAGGCCATGGAGAATGAGCTGCCAGTCCCTCATACATCTAGCAGTGCCTGTGCCACCAGCAGTACCAGCGGGGCCAGTAGCAGCAGTGGCTGCAACAACAGCAGCAGTGGTGGAAGTGGCCGCCCCACCGGGCCCCAGATTTCTGTGTACAGTGGTATTCCAGACCGGCAGACCGTGCAGGTAAGATTCTAATTGATCTGGTAATTATACTCCTTAATCAACTCCAGGGCTAGCAAGGAGGAGATGTTGAGTTGGTCTGGTGGGATAATCTAGATGTGGACTCTAGAATGGGCATATGGGAATGAGTTCATAGATGTACATTTGTATATTGTTACAGGGGGTGAAGGATGCAAAATGGCCCAACCAGGGAGTTTGGAGGACACGTGTGTGAAAGTGTAAAGGGCAGATAAGTAACAATAACAAATAATACATGACCAAGAGCTGCTCAGCCGCAACCCAGACCCACTCTCTAAATGACCATTGTCCTGTGAAGAACAGATCTCAGTTTTTCAAAGACCAAAAACCAAAAAGAACCCCCAAATAATCCTTTGTCATTGCAGCTTTTTACCTTCTCCCCTAAAGCAGCAGTTGGCAAGTGTCATCCACAAGGCCTTCCAGGTGGCAGCTCACTGCTCCTAAATGCAGTCAGGGCCATGCACTACCATCTGCTCTGTGCCTAACATGGTACTAAGCATTTTGCACACTTATCCTTTTGGTTATTATTAGGCACAATTCTGTAGTTGAGAAAACTGGGGCTCAGAGAAGGTAACAACTTGTCTAAGGTCATTCAGGTAAAGACAAAAAAATTGAAGCTAACTCTCCCCAGACCTGTGTTCTTAATCACTACAATGTTTTTTTCTTGAGGTTTCTGGATAATACAGGCAGAAAAGAGAGACCACAGCTGAGAAGTGTTTACTCGAAGTGACTTTGCTATTACAGTTTGGGTATACTAGAAAAGTGACCTCATCCTGCTTTGAACTTAAGCCCAGATAATGGAACAGGGGAGAACCCACAGCAGACAGTGAGAGGGCCTGAAAACCCGAGTTAAAGAAGATGCCATCAGATACCCTGGACTCTTCCCTCTCCCAGTTATTTCCACCTCGTGCTTAGTGAATCCATGTTTCCTGCCCCTACCCTTGCCCCCAGCCCCAGCGCCTGGCCCTGGCCCATCATGCATGAGGACCTTAGCTCTGATTTCTAGCCACGACATTCGGATGTACCCACTCCTGCCATTCATCACAATTCTAGGCAAAAGGGGGTCTGGGGTTCTGCTCTGGCGAGTGGAATCACCCAAGGTTGCACGCAGAACCATTCTGGGCTCCTCCTGTCTCCCTTTGTTGACATCCTCTTATGAGGAAGGGTCACAGGATCTCAACTACGTGGACTGGACTGCTGGGGAGGTCACTTTCAGGAGTCTAATAGAAAGGCCAAGGGAATACAGACAAATAATTCTGGGAGAGCAGGAGGGAAAAAGAATAGAGTTAAAATAAAACAGGATCTCGGAGAGGAGTGTTCACATCAGAGGAGTGGAATCTGGGGGCAGCATGTGGAAGAGTTGGGATGGGGATGTCTGGGGAGACGCCAGAGCCCATGGAGGATCTGCTATAATAACAGGCTGTTTTTACAGAACCCCAAATCTGAGCCAGAGGCTGTTTTGTCCTAGAGCTGTCAGCCCTAGAAGTCACACCAACCTGGGGAAAGCCTGACCTGACCCTGGGCCCCGTCCTAGCAAGGCTTGCTCGCCAAGATGGGGCCCACGGTCAGGAGCTACCTGTGGCCAGGGATTCAGCAGAGGTAAGGGTAGAAAATAGGGAGAAGCCCGGTCAAGGCCACTGCAAGGCATCAACTTGGAAGAGATGGCAGGAGGGTGGCCAGTGGTAGAAGGGAGGAGAAGTGTCTCTGGGACTCACGGGAAGAAGACAGAGGATCTTAGGGCTGGGGAAAGGCACTCGCTGTTCTTTGTTCCTGGGGATGGGGAGGAGATTTGTCCTTTCCAGGAGATTGGCCAATCCCATCAGGAAAGAAGGAATAAGCAGTAAGGTCAGGGAAGGGAATGGGAGACAGAAGCTAAAAAGAGGGAATGATGGAGAGAAAGAGAGGGAGGGAAAGAATAAAAGGGGGCCGGGTACAGTGGTTCATGCCTGTAATCCCAGAACTTTAGGAGGCTGAGACGGGCAGATCACCTGAGATCAGGAGTTCAAGACCAGCCTGACCAACATGGTAAAACCCTGTCTCTACTAAAAATACAAAATATTAGCCAGGCGTGGTGGCAGGCACCTGTAATTCCAGCTCCTTGGGAGGCTGAGGCAGGAGAATCACTTGAACCTGGGAGGTAGAGGTTGCAGTGAGCCAAGATTGCACTACTGCACTCCAGCCTGGGCAACAAGAGCAAAACTCCATCTCAAAAAATAAAAATAAAAAAAGAATAAAAGGGAAGTGTGCTGTCCCTGTAGCACTGGTCTGCTCTGCAAGACCCAGGCAACCTTCTTCTAAGGGATTGATGGGACTCTGAGAAGCTGTGGGCCTGGGGAGCAGCCCCAAGTCTGCCTTACAGCCCCAGCCTCAAGGAGAAGGCGTTGCCTCCATCTAAGTTTTCCTGTGGCTGGCTGTTGCTGAAGCTGGAGTAGGCCCCCTGCTGACTTTGCTCTTCCCTCCACCCCCATTCTTTTCCCTGCCTTATTGAGCTTCACCCTCATCTGAGGCTGCAGAGTGACAGAGGGAGAGGAGTGCCTGACAAGCCTGGTGGAGACCCTTCTATCTCCCTGAGCCTCCCTCACTGCCCAAGAGTTGATTAAAGCAATGGTGTGCCGCTCTGATTCTCCTCACCAAGGCGGATGATGCAGGAGCAGGCCATGCTGGGGAGGAGCTGCAGAGACAGGCAAGATAGATCAGGTTAGACTTGATGAAGAAGCTCTGCGAACAGCTGTCCTCCCACTGTTCTAGAGAGTGGCCACAATTGGCTATGGTGGTGGTCACAGATCTTGGTGTCTCCCGAGCAGTTACAGAGGCCTGGGGTAGGCAAGGCATTACTGCCAAAGGGGTATTCTGTGTGGCAACTGCCAGCCTGGCTCTTCTCCCTCCTCCCTCTTCTCAGGTGATCCAGCAGGCCCTACACAGACAGCCCAGCACGGCTGCTCAGTACCTGCAGCAGATGTACGCCGCCCAGCAGCAGCACCTCATGCTGCAGACTGCAGCGCTCCAGCAGCAGCACCTCAGCAGTGCCCAGCTCCAGAGCCTGGCGGCTGTGCAGCAGGTGAGATTTGGGAAGGACCTCAAGGCTGGTGCCAGGTGTCCTGGTTATGGAAGCGAAAGGGAGAGGAAGCAGGCACCGCACCCATGCTTCACATCCTTCTCTTACTACAACCTAAAGAAGTCCTTGTGATGCGGGTACTACTGTCATTATCTCCTTTTAGCAGGTGAAGGACAGGGCCCTGGGTCATGCAGCTAGTGAGTGGAGTGGCAGAATGCTAGCCCAGGGAAGAAGTGCAGGGATCCCCTCTCCTAACCACCTTACCGCAAGTCTAGGGAAAGGACTGCGGGTTCCAGGGAAGCATTCATGAACGAAGGGCACTGCCTATTTATCTTGTCTGCCTGTTGTTGCTGTCTCTCCTCCTTAGCTGAGAACACATTTATTTATCCATTTAGAAAAACATTTTATGTACCTTCTGCGTGCAAAGTTTATATCAGGCACTGGGTATACTGAGCACCCTGTCTTCTTGGCACTTCTAATGGGAGACAGCAAGTAAACAGGAACCAAAATAGCCAAGGAAACAAAATATTGAAATCTCTAAGTTATAATAAGCACCATGAAAGAGAAGAACAGATTGCTCTGACCGAAGGGCAAAGTGGACGGCCTTGCATTGCATGGTCAGGAAAGGCCTGTCTGCTGGAGTAACACTGGAGCTGACACTTGAAGGATGAGAAGCTGGCCACAGGGAGAAGGGCAGCTTGGACACTATCGCTCATGTCTGCAAATTATCTGTGTGGGTGTGGTGGCTGGGTGTGATGACAGTAGCTGGGTGTGATGGCGGTGGCCGGGTGTGTGGCGGTGGCCAGGTGTGTGGCGGTGGCCGGGTGTGTGGTAGTGGCCGGGCGTGATGGCGGTGGCCGGGCGTGATGGCGGTGGCCGGGCGTGATGGCGGTGGCCGGGTGTGTGGCGGTGGCCGGGCGTGATGGCGGTGGCCGGGTGTGTGGTAGTGGCCGGGCGTGATGGCGGTGGCCGGGTGTGATGGCGGTGGCCGGGTATGTGGTAGTGGCCGGGCGTGATGGCGGTGGCCGGGCGTGATGGCGGTGGCCGGGCGTGATGGCGGTGGAGCGGAGGGCTCCACACACCGAAGGCCGTGGCCTAATAGATGGAGTGCTCAGTGGCAGTGCCTTGCCTTATTCAGTCCTCTCAGCAATCCTATCAGGCAGGTACTGTTACCATCCTCACCTATTCACAGAGGAGGCAGGATACTTGCTGTGGGCCACACAGAGGCAGGTTGGGGGCTGACCTCCAGAGGCTGTTCTCCTTAACACCATCCTGCAGCACCTCCTGTGGATGATGAGAGCCCAGGAGTGACTGGGGGAGGTCTAGAACTCTAAGAGGAGTTTGTTCTTTCCTAGGCAAGCCTGGTAGCCAACAGACAAGGAAGCACTTCAGGCAGCAGTGTGTCTGCACAGGCCCCGGCCCAGTCATCTTCGGTGAGTAGAATGGGAGAGCAGCAGCAGAGTCCACAGCCCCAGGACCAAAATGCCCAAGTTCCCAGATCCAATTATGGTGAATCTGTGGCCATGTAACATCACGGCTGGAATCTATTGCTCCTGCCGGGAAGAAAAAGAAAAGGACATGTCTCTTACTGACCTTTAGGTCAGTAACTTCCTGTCATCCTCACAATGTCAGGGCTCTCTGTGGATAGCTCAGTTCTCCCAACATCAGATCCCCCTGCAGCTCTGCACCAAGGTCAGAGATGGGGCCGGGCTGGGGGATGCTCCAAGGCCAAGCACCACAGATGGTCCTGAAGGAGGCTGAATAAACCAAGGAGCAGAAGAGGGGGGAGAAAGAAATGGATGAGGGGGACACAGTTCACCAACAGAACCTCCTGTCTCCTACTGCACATCAGATCAACCTGGCAGCCTCCCCAGCAGCAGCCCAGCTCCTCAACAGGGCCCAGAGCGTGAACTCTGCAGCAGCCTCAGGCATCGCTCAGCAGGCTGTGCTCTTGGGCAACACGTCTTCCCCAGCCCTGACTGCGAGCCAAGCACAGATGTATCTGAGGGCACAGATGGTGAGTACCCATGGCTAGGGCCATGGCTTAGGGGCACCAGGACAGAGGCAGAGAAGCTGGGAGCTGTAGAAGGGTGGGGAGGAAGCACTAGGGGCAGGGGAAGGAGATAAGGGGTGGGATAAAGAAGGGGGCCTGGAAGGCTGAGTGGAAGCTTTGGTACAGCCTTGAGGAGTCACGAAGGGTGGGGCTCCAGGCTGAAACAGAGAAAGTTACCTGCGATGCCACCTTTCCTTCACCTCCTAGAGTAAAACAGAAGTGTCCCCTTATCAGAAACTCCTCAAAATTAATCAGGATGGGCACAGTGGTTCATGCCCAGGTGGTCCTGGACACCCAGACATCCATGTGCTTGACAGAAATGGGGTCTTCCCTTTCCCACCATCCTTACAAGGACTGGCCACCTCTAAGTCAAGGGCCAAAGATGCTTTCCAGCTTCAGCGTGCCTCCATTGCCCTCCCAGCTGGGCCCCCATTCTAATCAGAGGTCAGGTGAGCTTGTTTGGGCAGGATGTACTCAGGATAGCACCAGTTCTTTCCTTTGTACCTGTCCCTGAGGGGTGCAAAGGTCCTTAAGAGCCTACCAAGTCCCTAAGATTTAGGAGAATGCCCTGGGAAAATGGCAGCATACTCCCTGGGTGGCAATAGCATGCAGCCTCAGCTAGGGCTCAGTCGCTGTGGGTTGTGTCTCATACCTCCCATTTTGAAGTCTGCTCCTTCGGGCCCTTGACACACTATCCCAAAGGTAACACAGTCCTACCCCTCTCTTTGCTCTTATGGCCAGGACATAACCTTCGGAGCTTGTCTGGTCTTGGTCCCACACATTTGCTCTTGGCTCCGAGTTCATCATTTGAAGCCCATCTCCATCCCCAGGGAACAGCCTCTTAGGCACAAGGCATGAAATAGACTTCCATCTCCTAGGGAACTGGACAGACACACTGTGATGCTGCTGCCCAAAGCTGACTGTGTCTGCAGGTTTCTTGTCCCTGTGTTCTACTCCACTGGGGTCGTGACGCCTGCCTGTCTGCCTCCCTCCCCAGAGCAGGGCATACACCCACAGAGGAACAAGCACAGCTGCGCTATCGCGGAGTTCTAGGGAAAGCACCCTGTCAAGGCACCAGCACATCCACACTGACGCAGAGCTAGACTCCCATGGAGGTTGAGTTTTCATGCAGAGAACACCATGGATCCTGCACCCCACAGGATGGGATTCAGACACGAGGACGGCTCCAGGCAGTCTGCTTCCTCTGCCGTTGTTGTCTCCAGACCCCTCTGAACCTAACTTTGACTAGAAAATGACCAAAAGGATACATCGAACTTGATCCCCTGGAGGGCAGTCTCGTCCTGGCTCAGGCCTGGGTTCAGCAGTGGGTTAGACCTGCAAGGTGGTCCTAGGGCATCCGTCTCGCTTCCCAGGATGCTGAGGAGGTGGTGGCTTCAGTGTATCCTGGGGATATCGGTCTCCCCTAGGATGAGCCCCTCACAGCGGGTTCTGAAGGGAACTCGGCTTTGGTGTAGCCCCAGAGCAGCTCTCCCCACCCACCCCTGCACCAAGCCTGGGTCAGGACGCAACGAGCCTCTGGAGAAAGGCAGGCGCTCCCCTGGACTCCCCCTTCCTTGTCTTTCTGCTTCTACCGTCCTGCCCTTCCTCATAGCCGCTCCTGGGCTAAACAGTTGTGTCCTGTGGCTGAGTCCACATCGGGCAGGTAAAAGGCGCCTCGTTTCCTGTGATTCCAGGCCCAGCCAGGTAACCTGGTGCAGGTAGCTAGGAGCCTAGGCGGCACTGTTCCTTTGTCCCCTCAGCTCATCTTCACGCCCACGGCCACCGTCGCTACTGTGCAGCCTGAGCTCGGCACTGGCTCCCCCGCCCGGCCCCCCACCCCCGCCCAGGTGAGGACTCCATGCTTGTGGGAGGGCAGGGGGGTGGGCACCCCCGTAGAGGGGCACTGATACTGGGGAGGGGCACAAGGAGAGGCCGGGATCAGCTAGGAAAGCAGGCGGGAGATAGGACACCCCAGTGCCCCCAGGCCTGCGCGTCTACCCTCCTCCAGAAGGCCTCAGCCCCTCCTGGCTCTGTTTTGTTCCCTCAAACACAGGTCAGGAGCCAGAGGGCAGCCTGCTGAGGCCAGCATGATTGCCAGGGAGGGCTGGGCTGTGCTACCCTCCATGCTTTACAGCTGCCCCAGGATTGCTGGTCTGGCTGCTGCTGCTCCATAAGTGGAAAGTCCCACTCTGGTTACACATGGTACCGCTGCCAGGACTCGAGAAAAATGGCATGGAAGAGGGAGCAGAGACATGTCCCGCTCTGCTAGGAGTGCACAGATACTACTGTGGCTGGGAAGATTCTGTGGGCAGCGGGGGAAGGAACCCCTACCACTCGCCTCTCCCCATCCTCATCTACAGAATGGGGAGGGCGATGGGAGAGGGCTGTTAGCAGGATTTTCAGTCTGGCACAGCCTCCATGTGTCCAGCAGAGGGCGCCAGGGACCAGGCTGAGTCAGCATGCCAGCCGTCTTGGAAGGGCCGGTGGCAACCTTATTCTGAGACAAGATATTTGCCTGGTGACCTTGCTGGTCAGTTAACTTCCACTTTTGCCCTGGCCTTTTCCAGTGCGGGAAGCCCCATGCTCCCCGACGCTGGGAATTATTTCTGGGTGGTGTGCATCCAGTCCTGAAAGTGTAGGGGAGGAGGGAGGTCAACAGAAGGGACAGAGCCCCGCCTCCCCACCCCTGCCCGCCCAGCTGGGCAGCAGGCCTTTCTCAGAACTCAGCCTCTTCTGCTGCTGGATGCAGTCACAGTGAACTCTCTGGCCCTCTTTAGCAACTCCATGTGCTTCTGGTTCCTCTTCCAGCCCCTAACACATTCTTCTCTCTCTGATTTGACAACCTCCTGTTTTATTCAGCCATTCCTGGATCCATCCCTCTCTCCCTCTTAGTTGTGTACTGGCATTGCTCCTACCACATTCTCTGGACTCCCACAGACCCCTCTTTTCCAGGTACAGAACTTGACTCTCCGAACACAGCAGACGCCAGCAGCAGCAGCCTCGGGCCCCACCCCCACTCAGCCTGTCCTGCCCAGCTTGGCCCTGAAACCCACGCCAGGCAGTAGCCAACCTCTGCCTACCCCAGCACAGAGCAGAAATACTGCTCAGGCTTCCCCCGCAGGTGCCAAGCCTGGCATAGCTGACAGTGTGATGGAGCCACTCAAGAAAGGAGATGGCAACAGCAGTGTGCCAGGGAGCATGGAGGGCCGGGCTGGGCTCAGCCGGACGGTTCCTGCTGTGGCTGCCCACCCCCTCATTGCACCAGGTAAGGTCTTCAGGAAGCAGGAATCCTTTCCCAGAAAACTCAGGGCCATGAGTCAGAAGGAGACTTTCAGACTTTCCTTTTTCCCATGGATTTGCAAAGATACCAGCCATGGGTCTTTCTCTTCTCCCTCCCTGTCTCGAAGAGTCCATCAGCTCCTGGCTCTGTGCCATGCTTCTGGTCTAACTTTACGCAGGGCAGCCATGTCAGTTGGAATAAAGGAGTCCTTCTGCACAGTGGGCACAGCAATGAATCAGGGTACACAGCTACAGCTCTGGAGCTGTGGGCACAACCTGGAGTGGCTGGAGGCGGGCAGTTGAACTATTTTGAAATTCTCCAAGACTCAGCAAAAAGGCCAGGGGCTAGCCAGAAGCATGTGAGAACCAGACAGGGAGATGGGAATGTAGGAAGTTTATTTTTTCTCATCATTCAGCAAGCATTTGTTGATTAGTATTTGCCAGTCATGTTGCCAATTCTACGTGTGCAGAGATAAATGAGACTCAAGTCCTGCCCTCCAGTCTAGCTGGGGAGACAGATAAGTGCAGTGCATATGCCATAATAGATCTAAGCTCTGAACGCTGTCAGAACAGAGGAGCTATCTGGCCTTGAGGAGAGGAGCTAGGAAAGGCTTGCCAGTGAGGGTGACACTTGAGAATAAATCTAGGAGCTTGCTTGTGAGGCAGGTCCAGTGAATCCACATGCCCTGCTAGACCCCTTTCCCTGCCTACTAAAACTATCCCCATGCTGCCCATTGTAGGCAATCTTTCATGGGAAAATCTGCCAAGAGCCCAAGAAGCCAGGCCTATCGGTCTAGGCAACAAGACCACGCTGTTTTACCATAGAAATAAATAGAGTGGCAGAGCACACGGCTTTGCATTAAAGAGAGAGTCACGCTGATCGCATCCCTGAGACAACCACTAACCGCAGTCCTCTCTCAAACCATTTTACCATCCAATCTAACCTGCGGGTCTTTTTCTTGAGAAAATACATTAAGAATATATCTCAATACATCTTTGGCAAAATCGGATAGGATTTTTTTTCCCTAAAGGAGTGTGCAGTCAAAAGAAGGGAGCCAGATATAGAAGCAAATCCATTCCACTTCATAAATTCTATTTTAGGACTAAGTACCAGGCACAGTGCGGGCACAGATGGTCAGCTGCCTGCCAGGCAGAATGGGTCAGAGACGCCGTCCCTCAGAGGACACGGCACATGAGCCTCGCGGCATGAGCACGTGACCCGACAGACAGAGTGGGGAAGGTTCCCAGGCAGAGAAAAGCAAAGCAGTGCACATGGCACTGAGTTAGGAGGAAATGGGGTCAAAATCCCTCATTCACCTTCTCGAGGCTTCAGAAATCACCCAGGGGCAAAGGGTCAGTCGCTGCATTCCAGCAGTCACCGCTGAGTCAAGAAAGGCGCCTCCCCACGGAGGCCTCACGGCCCTGTGGCTTCAGATGTTTCTCACTGTCTGGCATGGCTTTCTCCAGAAAGTGGCCCAGCCTCTTCCTTTTATGGAAAAAGAAAGTCAGGCTCAGAAGGGTAGACTGGGGGCTCTTTCAATGCGTTGAAAGCAGCTTGGACTAGAGCTGAGACCCCAAATGGGCACTTCTAGTTTCTCGTTCAATCTGCATATGCCCTGGAGGACTATCTGCATCTCAAGCCTCCCTTCCAGCCCAGGCCGAAATGTAACCTCTTTCTAAATCTAAGCCAGCACCCCAAGTTCTAACACTGTTGAAAAGAAAGACTAGTTCTTGGGTTCCTCCTAAGGCTGCTAGGCAACTCAGTTCTCAAGAAAACTGGACAGAAACGGGACCAGCATTCACAGGACGTCCACCATGTGCTAGATAACGTGCCCTGAGTTGTACACATCACGCTTCTTTAAACCCTGTAAAGATCCCTGTCCAGTAGGTGTCCTTATCCATTTTACAGATGAGCAAACTGAAGCTCAGAGAGGTTCTCCAGGAGCTTACTACAGCTGTCACGCACTCATAGTCACCTAAGTAGTAAGTGGCAGGACTGGGGGCCGAGTCAAACACTATTCTTCATCTCAAGCCAGATTGTCCCTCTCAGTTCTTACAGTAATCTGGGGCCTCCTCAGCCTTTCCTGTTTCTGACCCAAAGCTGAAAGAATCTGGGGAGGTCTAAGCCTATTCAGGGTTTGCAGAGTCTGGTGGAGACCCCATGTAAAGGTAAACACCAACAGGTGACAGGCTTGAGGCCCAAGGGCCTAAGCCTAACAGTGCCTGGCTAGAATGCAGTGCAGAGACCAGTGGCTTCACACAACTTTCTCTGGAGCAGCTGTGAGCTGCAGTCCCACAAAGAACCTCTTCCCAGAGACACAAAGCAGTGGGCCTGCATTGTTCTGCCTCCCACTATCCCACCCCTTCCTCTCTGTAAGCCCGGAGATTGCGCTCCCCGACTCCCACCTCCCAGATGGAAGGCAGCTGGGGAGGTTTAGTAGGGGAAGATCCTCTCAGGGCTCCTGGACAAAAAGGACTGAAATCATTCTTAGGACCTAGTGCAGGGCAGCCAGGAGCAGCACCTGTCTTGGGCTACACAGTTCCCTGGGCAGAGGTGACTTCTGGCCTCCTGCCCAGCCAACCCACTGTCAATGAACCAAGGGATCTGAGAGCAGGAGAGAAGAGCGTGCTTGAGCATGCGTGTGTGTGTGTGTGTGCGCGCGCGCGCATGTGTGTGTGTGTGTGTGTGTGTCTGGGAGAGAGAAAGCAAGCGAGCGTGCACGCATTTTTTGTTTGTTATTGGAGCATTTTTTGAGCTGGCTGGCTGGCTGCCCCCAGGGAAAGTAACCAGTGGAGACTTGCAGTGGGGTAGTGGGGGAGTATGGCAGAGAGGAATGTGTTCTCCTGGGGGCTGCTTCCTCCCAGAGCAGGCAGACCCTCCGGTCCCAGCTGGGACTGCTCCCACTGACAGCTGTTTGGGGGCAAAGCCCCTCCCCCATGGCAAGCTCCCTGCTGTTCCTGCTCCTGTCACCTTGGCAACCAGCTTCTTTAGGCTCTGCAAATAGAAAAGGTCCCTTATGCCAAGAAAAGGGGTGGGGGAGCAGGTGGGGGAGGGGAGTAAGGGGCGGAGAACAGAGCCTAAGAGGTTGGGCTTTGGAGGGGAAGGAGAAGGGCCTGGCTTGCCCTTCTCACTGACATGAGGACTGAGCAACGGAGGGCAGAAGAGGGGCAGGCAGCAGGGGTCCCTTGGGCCTGGCCTCCAGGGAAGCCGAGTCCTAAGGAAGTGGGCCACAGCCCCAGATAGGAGACTTGGTTTTTGGAGTTCTCATTCTAGTGGATAAACTCCAGGCTTTGGGTGCACACTCAGGCCCAAAGGTGAGGAGAAAGTTGCTGACCGGGAGGGATACGCTGTGATAAAAGGGAACTGTTGGGTTGTTGAAAAGCTGGGGCCCTTTCACCCAGCTGGGCCTCCAGATGCCAGGTCTTTGTTCTGCATCCTCAGCCCGCCTCAGGTCTCAGCTGAGGAGCGAGAACTCTGCTGGAAGGCCACACAGCTGCTTTGTTTGAACACAGAGAGCGTTTTGTGCAGGGGCAGTGATTTCTGTCTGCGATAGGCTGGACAATGCGATGTTGCTGATTCTAGGATTCTTGGGCACCCTGTTTCCCTCCCAAAGCAGCCTCCAAACTGCAAGCACACTTTTACCTAAGGAATCCAATAAAAACCAAAGCATACAGGTGGGACTGTCATCCGCTAGAAATCCCCAACGATTTTGATGTTAAAATCATGGAACCAGCCATGGAGGTCATTTCAACTACCCACTGTAGCACCAAATTTAGATGACTAAGAATCTCATTTTATGTTGGGAGAAAAATCCAGATGATATAGGCTATCAGTGGAGGAGCTTTATGTTTTGCTTAACATCTTTCACTGTGCATACGAGCCTGTGTGCGTGTATGTGTGAGAGAGAAAGCCGACTGACGCACACAGGGACTTGGCCTTGGTGGACGTTTCTTCTTTCCCAAAATTCTTCATCCTAGGCTTCTATTAGACTATTTCCCCGGTTGCTGTGGACTAATAATAATACTTACCAGTTAAAGAACAGCCATGTTCCACGTACCGTACTAAATGCTTTACCTACATATCTCACTTAGTCTTAATGGTGATTATTCCATTTCACAAATGAAGGAGGTATGGCTCAGAGTCACTGTCATCCCCAAACCATTTGTCCCTTTAATTATATGGCTCAACAGATACTCATTTAGCACCTACTATGTGCCAAACATTACGCTGAACACTATGGGTATTAAAGAGATGAACAAGAGTTTAAATTCTAATGGGGGCTGCAGAAATTTGAGTTGTGCTTTGAAAAATGAGTAAGTTTCAAGAATGGAACAGGAGGAGGAGGATCTCAGCTGGCACTGGGAAGCACCTAAGCCCAGAGTGGCTGTGTGCGCGTGTGACCATCTTTGTGTGTAAGTGGGACCCTCCTTCCTTTTCCCTTGCCCTCTGCCATTAGCTGTGGGTCTCCTAAAACTCAGTCCTGTGGCCTGTGTTTCACTCACAGAGGAGTTTGTTGGTTCATACCTTTCAGACATCCACCACCTGTCTGCCAGTGACTTCCTAATACACATCCATCCCTGTCCTCCTCCTTCTCCCCATACATTTCAGCTATCTATAGGATAGACATCACCCCACCTGCATACAAGTTTTTTTTTTTTTTCATTTGGAGAATTTGTAAAACAAAAACCCTGCATCTTCCTCTCTGGAAAGGGCCCGTCTACCGTATCCTGAGCACTGTCCACAATTGCAAGGTCCTCCTGCACCCCAGACTCACAGAGTTATTTTGACTTCACATTCAGATAACTGGTAGTATTTTTAAATACTACTGAGCATTTACGGAGCATCTACTAGGCATTGAGCAAAGGCAGTGAACCTCTTTGTGGTTTAGACAAAATATTCCGTTTGATACTAACAACTATGTGGTATGTATCACCATTTACAGAACGGCACGTCTAGATCCGGAGAGGTTAAGCAATGTATCTAAG